CTGTGCCCCCACCACACACACACACACACACACACACACACACACACACACACACACACACAGAGTTACCTTAACAAAGACGGTATTTATGCTCACTGTTTACTTATAAGCAAGGAACATGTTAACAAATTAAAAGATGCCCTGGTTAACTGCTTTCAAGAATTTCATTTAGTAATGATTCTTTTTGTAATTTCTGGACCAAGATCTTTCCTCTCTTCTTGTCATGCTCCGAGTTGAACTTTTAGCAAAGATACACCATATTACAAGAAGAAGAGAAAGAAATAAGCTCTGATAATAAAAGCATAAAGCTGAGAAACTGAGCTCTGGCAGTTTTTCTTCCTCTTATGATAGATAGAAAAGGAAACTGAAATGTGGAAATTCTGGGTTAAAATTAGCTGTTCTTTCTATCAAGTTAATATTACATATCTGTTTTACGTAGTAATACATATACTGTATAATTGTATCGTGTGGTACTAGTTTAAGATCCTCGGCTGATTGAATTTGAGGGTGTGAAAACCCACAGATACAAATACAGAGGGCCAAGTAAGGGACTTGAGACTCGAACATCCTTGGATTTTGGTGTCCAAGGAGGGTCCTGGAACCATCCGCCTCCCCTCTCCCCTGCTGCCTGCTGGGACCTAGGGACGACTTGTGTACATATACATATATATATACATATACATAGATATTTAATCATAGAAATTTGGTATTTTTGTTGTCCCTACTGTACATATAAGGAAACTGAGGCACGGAAGGGTTAAATGTCTTGCTTAACTTCATATAACATAATTTGTGTTTTGAAGCGACAGTATTTCAAAGCTACAAATTATTAAAAAGAATAACATCAACTAATTCTCTTGTAATTCAGAAGAAAATCTTTGCATGTTAATCGTGCTTTCATGTTTATTCCTATTGATAATTTAAATGCATTGCTAACATTTGATTCTAATATCATGCACATATTTGCATTCGTTCGTAGTCATGTCAAGGACAAAACTTAAAGTTGGGAAATAAAAAAATGTTAATCATACTTCTATACCCATCTTGAAATACTTCATACTTGTCTTTTTTTCCATTCATACATTCATTTAACAAATATTTGCTGAACCACTCTTGTTTAGAGAGTATTGAACAAAATAGACATGGTACTTGCCTTATGGAACTTACGATGTGGCCTGGGAATATGCTTTTTTCAGTAAACAATCTAAAGTGGCCCCAAGATGAGCAGTTTTGGAATAGAGAGAAAGACAAGAAGTCTATAAGGAGGAAGAGATGCTTACACTCAGTTTTAAAGAACATTCAGGAGATAATCGTCCTCTGTGTAGAATAGCATGTGCAGAGGTTCAGAGCCGCGGTGAGGTTGGTTACACACGTGTGGTATCATAGGGTGTCTGCAGAGGGTGAGGACAGTAGCAAGTGAGGGGTCTGAAGGGCAGGTGGCCTCAGATAAAGGAGAACTTGGCATCCATCTTCCACCCAGGCAAGTTTGGACTTTATGTTATAGACAAGCGAGTGCCATTGAAATAACTCGAGAAAAATAATAAGGTGAGATTTCGATGAAGAAACTAGAGGAAGAGAACATAAGCTGAAACTATTGTGAAAGGCGGAGTAAACCATAGGAGAAGCCTGAACTACAGAAGTGACATTGATGGTGGAGTCAAGGGAACAAATGAGAGATATTTGGGAAATCGAGTCTTGCGTGACTGGCTGTAGGGATGAGAGAATAGGCAATCTCAGGACTATTCTAAAGTTTTGGCTTGGTGATGTGTTACATGGAATTGCCATGTCAGATAAGGAATAGAGGTGGAGAAAGGGGGGGTTAAAGGAAAAATAATGTGTTCCATTTGGTGTTTATGGAGATGTCTCAGGAAGAGATTGGATGTGTGATCTTTAGTTCAGTGGATAGCTCTGGGATAAAGATATATATTTATAGGTGATAAATATAGTGATTGCTGTTGAGGCTGCTAGTATGAATAAAATTACCCAAAGGGTATTTGGAGCACTTTAACTCTTTTGGAAAATCCAGGTGCTTGGGTCTGCCTCCAGGAATTCTGATTCAATTGGGCTTAGATGGAGCTGCGGACATTATTATATTATAATCTCTTTCCATTGGGATGCTAGTGGCATCCAGAGCCCTGGTCTAGAAAGAGAGAAAAGAAGACATAGAATAGATTTCTGGAAAATGACATGTAAGGGAGGGCAGAGTAAGGAGAAAGTCAACACGGACTGTGAAGGAAAAGCCAGAGAATATCAGGATAATATTTTTTTTGTAAGTCTCTAATTTTCAAGTAATCATGTATCTCAACTCTATATACATTTTGATACCCATGCATGCAAGGTTTTAGTTTTAAAGCCATTCAAGGGTGATATATAATATATATTTAAGAACTGGTGTGGGGGGACAGTAGTCATTCAGAATGATTGCTGACCACGTGGGAAGCAGGCCCTGCCATGGCAGGACTTAACTTTCAAGTTTCTGGAGGGGATTGGTCTTTAAAGAGGATCAAGTGGCTGGAAAGCAACTGAAGGACTCAAGACAGCAGTTTACTAACTAGGATAAACGTGTGGATATTTCAACAACTGTAATGGCTATTCTGGGGGTGCTCTGGCTGAATATCAGCCTGGAATGCCAGAACTGTGAACAGTTTTGACCATGACAAGGGAAGAATGGAAGGGCACTAGCAAATGCATCCATGTGGAGGTTTATGGAGCTGCTCACCCTATCAGGCTCTTCCATGGTTATTTAAAGAGCTGTAAACACATTTATGAAGATAAATTCATTTATAATTCACCCAACAAAGATTTTTTTTTTTTGAGAAATTCTCAATGACAAGTATTGTGCATGAATGCTGAAAAAAGAAGGTGAATAGATATGGGTTTTGTCTTTAGTAAGTAGATGTAGAGAGGAAATTTTTTTTTTTAAGCAAGATTTCCCCACATAAACAGGAGTTGGATTGGAGGTATATATGTACCAAAGAAAGTGGGAAAACACACGAAAGCCTAAAAGAGCATATGCTGTCTTAGAAAACATTATACGCCTGGAGTGGCCTGAACTTAGGCTGTATGTGAGGTGAAAAGACCCCGGCAGGGTGAGTTGTTGGATACTTCTAAGAAACCTATATGTCAAGTGAATTGATCATTTTCCTGTAGCTGATAGAGAGCTGCTGAATAAGTTTAAACCTGAGAATGACATGATAATATTTGTGTTCTAGGAAAATTACTCTTAATACCCCTCTACACACACTTCAATCTAATCAACACATCTAATTGGGACTATTCGAATGGCTTAACTCCATGCTGAACAGTTCTCAAGTTTCTGACCTTAAAACTGGATTCTCCTGAAGATGTGGGAAAAGTGACAGAGAGACGCCTCTCTACTTTTTAAACCTGAGTCAGCAGGTTTTCACAAAACTACTGTGGTTTGTTCATTCTGTGTTAGATATTGAAGTGGTCATTTTATATCAGATAATATTTTGTGCAACATCATCAGTTTTAAGAATCATCTCTTAGACATTATTATGGAAGTATTATCTCTTAGGATGCTAAGAATAACAAAGTTGCTTAGCGTTTCTATGCATATCACAGTCAAAATTTGATAGGAGTTATACAGATAAAATCTGAAGTAGAATCAGAGAAACCAAACTACGGATTTAAAAAGAACCTTCTAGGGCTTCCCTGGTGGCGCAGTGGTTGAGAGTCCGCCTGCCGATGCAGGGGACACGGGTTCGTGCCCCGGTCTGGGAAGATCCCACATGCCACGGAGCGGCTAGGCCCGTGAGCCATGGCCTCTGAGCCTGCGCGTTTGGAACCTGCGCGTCTGGAGCCTGCGCGTCAGGAACCTGTGCTCCGCAACGGGAGAGGCCACAACAGTGAGAGGCCCGTGTACCGCGAAAAAACAAAACAGAACAAAAAGGACCTTCTAGACATAATCTTTTTTTTTTTTTTTTTTTTTTTCAGCTGCCCCAAGACAGTGCATTGAACTTTATTTTGATGAAAAGTACTCTATTGAACCTTCTTGGGAGTGCAAATTTGATCATATTGAAGTTCGAGATGGACCTTTTGGATTTTCTCCAATAATTGGACGTTTTTGTGGACAACAAAATCCACCTGTAATAAAATCCAGTGGAAGATTTCTGTGGATTAAATTTTTTGCTGATGGAGAGCTGGAATCTATGGGATTTTCAGCTCGATACAATTTCACACCTGGTAAGTGGGGGCTTGTTTTTTTCCCAATATCTTTTCCTTCCTTGATTTTCCAACTTCATACTATAAGAACTTTTGTAAGACAACTTTATAATTTCCAAAGAGTTTCCCAGTTCTATTTAAAACCAAACCTACAGTACTTTCTCTTTTCATTTCATTAATTCTGAAAGGAAAATAATTTTTCTTTAAAATTTAGCCTACACTAGAGGTACAGCATAGTGACTCAGGGGTCTACATGGTCATCAGCAACACAGTTAATTAGTTGGACTTCCGTTAGGCTGAAACGTGTAATTTGAGAGGCTGTCTGTAATAGAGAAACTAATTATGCATTGAATCCCAATAAACTTGAAAAGGCAATTGCAATATTGTAAAATGTATCCATCAAAATGATCTTTGGAGAACTCAAATAAAAAATTCATTTGTTCTGAAAATTATAATATTTTTATTTGTTTTAAAAGTTATAATTTTTAAAGCAAATGGGTCTTAGTATAAAGCAGTCAGTCTAATCTCTTTTTAGAAATGCAAATTCCTAAGAGTTGTGGTAAAAGGAAAAGTGAGCCCCATAGCAGCCAAATACCCATTTGCAAGGTCTGGCACCCATTAGCTGTTATTATATAATTATCTATTCTATGTCAGTTTTCCTTTTAACCTGTTGATATTAAAAAGGGTCTGTGATGTTGACTGGCTCACTTTGTGATGAGTTATCATTGAATATAATAAAAAATTGGTTATATTTTTAAACTGCAAGAACATCAGGCTGAAGCAATTTGAGATTTGATGAAGTCACTTTTTTTAAATGGAAAAATGACTCAACTTACATAAGGACATTATTGATTTATAATTACATTTTTTTAAGTTTGTACATATTGTTTTACTCAGGTTATAAAAGACAAATTAAATTGGAATATATGTAAAATTTATTCAAGTTTCCATTCCATGTTACAGAGGTAACATCAGAGCAGGGCTATGATGCTCAGTTCAAGCACTAACATTTTTGAAATAATTAATATAAGATTAATGATGACTTTTATTGTGATATTATGGTTTAATAATATAATAATTAAAATAAGTAAGATATTAACCCTACCATATGCCTTAGCCTTAAACATTAGGAATATTTTTATAATATTTCTAAGAGATTGTGGTTTTTATTATGCTTTGCTAATATTGGATTGCTCACAGAAGTCATGGGTATTTCACGTGTGGCAATCAAACCGATTCGATGTGTTCCAGAAAGGTGTAAACACTGAGATTACTTTATTAGTGCTACAGTTTTCAATGGAAATATATATATATTTTTTCTTAACTGCTAATTTTGAGTATAACTAGGACCTAAAAATAATGGCACATGGTATGATCTAGGCTTTTGTAAGTTATATTTTCACCTTGAGACTGGTGATCATGGGAAAAACGTGAGGATCTAAACCTGTAGTTTCATTAGAAACGTAGGGTCAACTCACATACTTTATCAACTTAAGCAATTCTATCCACGTTTCTAGCTCTACTTGAGATACATCAATGGTGGCGTTCAATCTGATATCCTAGGTTTTCCATAGCTTCTTTGTTTCCGAGCATTGTTCTTTGCTCCTTGTTTCTTTAGATCCACCTTTGCTTCATCTGTAGAAGAAGATTTTATTACCAGGAACATCTGAATCGGAGGGGAATGTGAGGAGATGATTCCATGTAATTAAGAATGAGTTAAGGATAGACTGAGGCTTCTGCTGTCACTCAGATAAGCTTGAGTGAAGTGTGCCGGGAAACCTACACTTGGCATCTGAGGGGAAAGTAGGACCATAAAAAGGAGTTGTGTAGAACTTCCATGACTGCACAAGTTGACACGCTGTGGCCCAAGGACATTGCCTGACTGGCACAGTAATCTACAGCTCATTCCATAAAGAGGCAATATTGAGGAAGCCACTTAGTTAATGTAGGAGGGAGGGGATTAGTGATCATTTAGACAGCATTTAGGGAATAAGGAGTCAGGCGGGCTTTAGTTTAATTTGGGTTTCATTTTTACTTGGTGGTATGCTTCAAGTGGTGACCTGTGGGAATTGAGAGAGCTCCTCAAGTCAACTTAATCATTTACGTGATAAAGCATTGCTGAAATCTCGAGGGCCCCAGAGCGGGATGCACATTGGAGGAGAGATCTTCCCACCCAGTCACCCCGAGAACTGGACTCCAGCACAGCTGTGAGGAACACTGGTTTTGGAAGCAGATTGGGCTTCCAATTCTAGATTTCTTATTTCTTGCTTGCTGTAAACTCTGGACATGATCCTTCATGTTCTATGCTTCAATATTTTTATTTGTAAAGTAGGGATAATATTGATTACTCACAAGATTGTTTGAAGATTGTTTGATTATCGGCCAATGCATATTTATGGATTTCTTCACTTCCTATAAGATCTCAACTGTTGATAGCTATTATTGTATTAATTTGATCACGTGTTCTTTAAAAGTAATGGAGGCTTGGCATAGTTTATTGGGAGAGCAAGTGTCCCAGATTTTTTAAATTACAACTTCTCTTTCGCTGATTTTTTTGGGATGGATATGAAAAACTAATACCACATGATATCACTTTTCCTTATTAGGTTTAAGTGGGCCTAAGTCTCCACATGAGGGTTATAGTTATTTCTGATAGCAGTCATAAAATATGTTAGAGCAGAAATAGCAGTAGGAAGCCTAGATGGTCTTTATTATTTTTGAGAATTTACCATAATCTGGGATCGGGATCTTAATTTACAGTCCCAGAAACTTGATATCAGCACAGTGACAGTGTACCCACTCTTAGGAATGAATCACATTAACCAAGCTAAATATACATATATACATACATGTGAATGTACACAAATATATATATATACCTACATATGAATATACATATATACATGTACATATATGTACACGCATATAAACATACACACATTTTTAGTAAGAATTCTTAGAATCACACAGCTCAGTGTTTCTTGTAAGCGACCATACATGGGCATCCGGATTATAATCAGAACATTGTACAGTGAGTGTGAAATCCAAATATTGAAGCATGTTTAATAGCATCCAGCGAAGGTACATGATGATTCATCTTGATAACACGGACCATTTTTCCCAATGATGCTCTAGGTCCCAAATTGCCATGGGTCAGTACCCCTGTCCAGTCTTCAGCTTCGGCCATGCCTGACTGGGACACTAATTTGTGTCAACTCTTATCCCAAAACTTGTTTCTATCTCTTAATATCTGAATATCTTTGACTTCCTTTCCTAGTCAACTTTTAAAACATAGCCTTTTAATCCCTCGCTCCTGCGTTCCTAGGAGGTACTTCTGAACTGGTGGTCGCTGAGAACTAGCCAGCTGGAGGTCATGTGTGGACTTGGAGGGCAGGAAGGCAGAGCCAGAGAAGATGCCACAGATACACACTTAAAGGGGTTTTCCATCTTCGGGCACATTTTGATGACTCCGCAGTTTTTATGTTATGGATGTGGTTGTTTGTAGATACTGTGCCATTACCTGGGTCCACAGTGCAACGATGAATCACCTAGGAGTGTAGTCTAGCATGCACAAGAGACTGAGCAACAGTGAGAGAGAAGTCAGCCTGTCAAACCCCCAAGGCCTGCAGAAATGAAGGGCAGTGTGAGGTTCGAAAAAGGGCCAAGGAACCCAGAGCCCTGGTGGGAGCCTCCAGGTGATGCCAGTTGGGAAAACCTCTCTTCCTGTGCAAGCACAGTTGTGTTGTGAGGTCTCCTCAACATACACTCTCCTACTTCCGTGAAGAGAAATGTCAGAATCACTGAAAATGTTAAAAGTTACATGATGGAAAATTTGATAACCCACAGATAATTTAAGGAGAAAACATAGAGAAGTGTTCATTGCAATAGACTGATACTGTTTTCTCATCTTAATAATGTTTTTCTTAAAAACATTTAAACCAAATGTATTATAGAAAAATGAATCATGAGAAAATATTTTATAATGAAATTACCTTAATAATACTGGCATAACATTCACCAAACTCATAACGATGATTACCTTAGATGATGTGGGTGGATGAGAAGGAACTGAAGGGACCAAGAGAGAGATACAGTGAACTTCTATCAGCATTATCAATAATGCTTAAATTTTTGAAAAGGATACAACATTGTTTTCGTTACTACTAATGTAAATAAAAGTATTTAAGATAAATCAAAAAAAAGGAGAACATACCATAGTTGGTAATTTTTAAATGAATTGTTATTAGAATTTAAAATGTATTTTTAAATGAATTTTTAAATTTTTTTTTTTTTTTTTGCGGTACGCGGGCCTCTCACTGTTGTGGCCTCTTCCGTTGCAGAGCACAGGCTCCGGATGCGCAGGCTCAGCGGCCATGGCTCACGGGCCCAACCGCTCTGTAGCATGTGGGTTCTTCCCGGACCGGGGCACGAACCCGTGTCCCCTGCATCGGCAGGCAGACTCTCAACCACTGCGCCACCAGGGAAGCCTGAATTTTAAAATTTTAATGGAAGTTTAGAAGAGGGAATACCATTTCTCCACAATCTACTTTTTTTTTTTTTTTATTTACACTGAGAATGCCTTTTCAGTAGATTAACTCTTCCCCGTATCCAGCTGCCCCCATGCCTCAATTTTCTTTGTTACTTGAAAATATGAACTAAGGAGAAAACATGTAACTGTATTTGCTGTATCCCCAGTCCAGAGGCATTATCAAGGACTTTATTAGATATTAAGAAAGAAGAACATCCAGGATGTTCTACTCTTGGGAAAAGTAACCCTTTCAATCTCTGTAGGAACAAATATCTCTTGTTAGTCTTGTGCTTTCCTTCCTAATGGAGAGATTTTCTCCTCTTTACAGACCTAGAATGTGATGTTTTTGGAATCTTCCTCTTTTGATGTTATTTTTTCTGAACTAGTTTTATGAAACAAGGTTACACAAACTACTGGAGAAATTTAATTTAAGGTTACACAAGCTACTGGAGAAATTTAATTTAAGGCTTATGCCTCAAAGTACCAAATAGGT